AGGTGACTGATGGTGGCCCCGTTTCTGAGTCAGTATCCATAGCCAGTGCGGTCAATGATTTGGCTGAGGGGGTTCAGACCTATGCAGAACAGTAGTGGGGACAGTGAGTCTCCTTGGTATATACCACATTTGATGGACACATGTGCAAGTGGCTTCCCATTGGCTTCAAGGGTGGTTTTCCACAACCGCATCGAGTTTGCAACAAAGGCCCTTAGAGTCCTGTTGATATTGTACAGCTCCAAGCACTCAGTGATCCATGTGTGTGGCATTGAGTCGTAGGCTTTCTTGTAATCAATCCAGGTAGTGCACAGGTTGGTTTTACGGGCTCTGCAGTCGCAGGCGACTGTTCGGTCAACCAGGAGTTGGTGCTTGGCTCCCCTGGTGTTTTTACCAATGTCCTTCTGTGCTGCGCTCATGTATTGATCCATGTGCCCACTTATCTTAGCCGCGTTGATGCCTGACATGAGCTTCCATGTTGTGGAGAGACAGGTTATTAGCTGAGAGTTGGATGGGACTGCGCCCTTTGAGGGATCCTTCAGGATCAGGATCGTACGCCCTTGGGTTAGCTATTCAGGGTGTGTCCCATCCCCTAGCAGCTGGTTCATTTGTGCTGCCAGGCGCTCGTGGAGAGCAGTGAGCTTCTTTAGCCAGTACGCATGGATCATGTCAGGGCCCGGTGCGGTCCAGTTTTTCATACCTGAGACTCGTTCCTGGATGTCTGCCACTGTGATGGTGACTGGATTCTGTTCAGGGAGCTGATATAAATATATATAAGTAAATAAATAAATATATATATATATATATATATATATATATATATATATATATATATATATATATATATATATATATATATATATATATATATATATATATATGATAGGCCTGAACCTAGCCATATATATATACCGATATCATATATGACATCATGTACGCTATATATCACTGATCACACCACAAGGATCTACAGTACAGACATTGGGATGTCATTCGGCTTGATGTAGCAGGATGGTGACAAAGAGAGGGAAGGTAGTCCACACAGTGTCACTCCCAGAGGAACAATAGAGACGTTGAGGACAGTTACAAGTACCTTGGTATCCCACAAGCAAGTGGCAACCTCGAAGAGGCAACAAGGAAAGCGGCTACGGCCAAATACCTGCAAAGAGTGAGGCAAGTCCTGAGAAGCCAGCTCAATGGCAAGAACAAGGTGCAGGCAATCAACAGCTACCCCTGCCAGTGATCAGATACCCTGCAGGGATTGTAAGCTGGCCAAGGAGGAGATACAGACCACAGATGTTAAGACACGAAAGCTCCTGACCATGCATGGAGGGTTCCATCCAAATCCAGCACCCTGAGACTGTACGCAGGCCGGAAGGAAGGGGCCGAGGACTAGTGAGTGTGGGAACCACTGTCCAGGATGAAACATCCAAGCTCCTTGAGTACATCAAGGACAAGGCCCCGGCGGATGAGGTGCTCAGAGAATGTCTCAGACAGTGGGGTCCAGAGGAAGAGGTGCTGGAGGGACCATCATGCAGGACAAACCCCTACATGGGGCGTACCACCGGAACATAACTGAAGTGGCTGATATCAAGAAATCCTACCAATGGCTTGAGAGGGCTGGTCTGAAGGACAGCACAGAGGCACTGATCCTGGCTGCTCAGGAGCAGGCCCTGGGCACTCGAGCAATAGAGGCCCAGATCTACCACACCAGACAAGACCCACGGTGTAGACTGTGCAAAGAGGCTCCTGAGACAGTCCAGCACATAACTGCAGGTGTAAGATGCTGGCAGGGAAAGCATACATGGAGCGACATAACCAAGTGGCGGGCATAGTGTACAGAAACATCTGTGCAGAGTACGGGCTGGAAACCCCAGGATCAAGGTGGGAAACACTCCAAAGGTTGTGGAGAATGACCGAGCCAAATCCTGTGGGACTTCCAGATACAGACTGACAGAATGGTGATGGCGAACCAACCAGACATAGTGGTGGTGGATAAGAAACAGAGCAGAGCCGTGGTGGTTGACATCGCAATACCAAGCGATGGTAATATCAGGAAAAAGGAACACGAGAAGCTAGAGAAATACCAGGGGCCAAGGAAGAGCTGGAGAGAGCCTGGAAAGTAAAGGCATCAGTGGTGCCTGTGGTGATCGGAGCACTCGGGGCTGTAACCCCAAACTGGAAGAGTGGCTAACAGATACCGGGAAAAACAACGGACATCTCAGTCCAGAAAAGTGCAGTACTGAACAGCAAAGATACTGCGCAGAACTCTAAGCTCCAGGCCTCTGGTAGAGGACCCGAGCTCAATGAGGGTGAGAGAGACCTACCACCGTGGAAGGTGAGAAACATTTTTTTTTTTATATATATATATATATATATATATATGATGTCCAATACAAAGTACATTATTGAATTCATATTCACACAGTCGTGAAGACTATAACCATACAGTAGAATGACATGTTTTCGAATTGTCCTTTTAGTGAACCATATGCACCATGCTATGAGGCCTGTCACACACCACATGGAGGAATCGCCACATCTGCTCTGTAGTTTTAACTCCACTAGAAGGGTTAGCTGCAGCCGGTCATCTGTTTATGTCAGTGAGGGGTTAAAATACAGACTAATTAACATGTGTAAGTTACATAATTAGAAGTAATACGGCTTGTGTGAGGAATAAAATACCTGTAATTTGCTTAAAACGTATGTCCAAAAACAGAATGGGGGTTGACGTATTTATTATTGTCAGCTGGCACCCTTCAAATCCCACTTCTCTGTGCATCTAAGGAGGTAAATGTTTTGATCATAGCTGGGTGGACTAAATGGACAAACTATGTGACCATACAAGGCCAAAGAAGGGACAGTCATCGAAAATACTTAAAAAAAAATCTTTGTTTTTGCTCATGATCATATTTTAAAGGTGTATTGTGTAACTTTTCTAGTAGGGAGTCTGCCAAATCTGTTTTCTTCAAGGAGATGTTATTGCTTTGTCTGGATTGTTGGTCTTTATGGTGCACAAACCAGACCAAGATACAGACCAGATCTATGGAGAGGCAATCCCGCTCACAGTCAGTATGCCTGTTTTTGAGCAGTAAAACCACATTTAATTGAATAGACATAAGGTAGAGCTGTTTAATGTCATACTGTGGAACATTTCAGGCAGAGGAGTGACATATCCATAGAAACAAGCAGGTGATGGACCTCCAACTAAAAAGTTACATAGTGCACATAGTGTAAAAATGTTGATTATTGTTTACTTCCATGAAAGCCCCAAATCCTAGACCATTACAAGAGCAAACAGGATGAAACACTGAGCTATTATTGTCCAGTGTCGGCTTGGTGTATGATGCTGTAAAATAAAAATGGGTTGTGAGTGCACTCTTTGTTTTCATGTCTAATATGATTATCCTAATAGTCTCTAAAAGGCTTTGAATTGCAGTCTTTCACATAATTAATTATTAAAACTGCAAAGCGTACACTGATGTGCAACTTCTAGTGGCTGTTCATGTCTGCTCTGCTAAGGCTCATATTTATTTTGTTTTTTACAAATGCTTATTGTCTTAGGGACACTTTTACATTCATATTTAATATTTTTCTTCTTTCAAAAAGACAAACCTCAAGATCTTGTTCCATTCAATTATAATGCATATCAAATTCTTTTTAAATATATGTACCAAGTTACAGTGGATTGAGATTTGAGCCCCATGCTACAGACAGTGCACATGTGCACGTTGCAGTCTTGTGTTTGATCAGTGGGTTGTGAATCTTTTGGCGCCCTCTTCCCAGAATGGATGTGCGTCAGTGGAAGGACAGGAATATGCGGTGACTGTCCACACCGAGGGATTCTATCTTTGCAGACTAATTCCTGGAGCCTATGGGTGAACTCAAGCGGCAAACCTTGTCAGATCACTTTAGTCTTCACTGGATGACTGCATCGTACCACAGTCAGACCCATCCCTCTCTCAATCAGCGGTGTGTGTCTCTCTGGGCAGTTTTTCTTCTAAATACAGTCAGTCAGCACCAAGAGATTTTTTGGGGTTCAAGTGTATTTAGTAACACTTCATTTGTTGTTTAAATCTGTTTAGAAGAGAAATTATTTCTCAGTTCTGTGACTGATTTCACATTAAAAAGATACAACTTTCCTTAGTAGTGATGATGCACAAGAAGATAAATCCCTGATATTACCAGTACCTCAACAGGGGGAGATGGGGAGGCAATACAGACCCAAAACAGTGATACATGTATTGCTTTCAACACTAATATTTAGAGTTAGTTAGTCACATTTCTTGGGAAGTAAAACTTTCAGGGGTTAAACATTAAGCTGCCCTTAATAAAAATCAGAACGCCATCCACTTGCTTTTACAGACACATGAGGACTGAGGGACTGATGAATTTGAAGGGTGAAGGTGAGTTCAAGTTTTTTGCCTTCACTGACAATGAGAGTAAAACACTACAGCTGTCTGAAGAGGATAGGGCCCATCATGAGGGCTTAACTCAAACTCAACATCTGCCGTGAATATACACCACAACCATCAGAGCTGTTGGAGTGAGCAGTAATACATGGGATGGTTTTCTTCTTAGAAACAAACAATTGAGATGGTTATGCAATAAATACTCATGTATTGTGGCATTGCAGCTGTTCATTAGTGTGGGAATACAATGTTATTCTGGTTATCAGATTTGAGCCAAGCTTCTACACACTGTTTATAGTAAATGTGTTTTGGCTGACACTGGACTTCGGCCTTGGAGAGAAATGTTTTAGTGTACTTCCATCCATAAGTGGGCCCAGGGAAAGAATGGACAGTCATGCAACAGTCCAATAATAATACTACATGCCTGGGTGGGCTACAGCTACATTTCATTCATAATACACAATATGCAGATTGACGAAGGCATCACATCTCATCAGACAGACTTTACATAAAAAGAGACCTATGGACCAATTGTAAGATTTATTGTGTAATTGTGCAAAACATACAAACACAACCATAAAAACACTCATGACAAACAATACACCAATTTTATAAAGAATAACTATTTAACTATGTTAAAAAATAATCTATTTACAGTTTCCAGAACTTTTACAAAATGCTTTCCATTTCAAGACCCATTGTTTAGCATTAGCTCAAGGATTGAGGTAGGATGACAAGAATAACACACAACATAATAAATGACATGTGGCATGTCTAGTAATAGGTAAAAAAGTAAATATTTAAAAAACTGTACCTGGTATATATATTTTGTAATCTTTCTTATACTTCCATATACTTGGACGTGCCTACAATCATAAAGAATCAATTTCCACCAATGATGCAGAGGACAGATAAAAAATAATTAAGTGCAAAACTGTCAAAATAATAAACAATAAAACCAAAGACAGAAATGTTATCCCCAACAGTTATGTACCAATGGATCCTCCTTGGTACTGCTGTCTCCAATGTATATTTGCAGAACTCTAACACAAATTATTATCTAACAGCAGCCTGCTGCCTTCTTATTCCTTCTATAAAAGGCACTGATGCTTTTACCTAATTTATAAATACTTGCTATGTAAAAGCTGGAATAGTGAATGGTTTGGACAAGCTCAAAAATAGCCTCATATTCAGAAAATAATTACAAAAGTGTCTAAAATAATTAATTATTACAATGTTTGTACACATTGATTAAATACAGTGTAACTGGTATACATTCCAAAAAAAAACAATATACATTTGATCCTCATTCATGTAAACATATACTGAAAACAAATGCATGGAGAGTCTCTCTACAATGACTGTCATTATCAGTCAAAACCTTCTGCATTCACAAGTTATTTCTGTGCAAGAAATTTAGCTTTTGTAAGTGTACAAACTCAATGGGCCTCTTCTAAAAATGCATGGACTTGAATGGCCCTGAATGGAGGCGCTGATGAAGGAGCTCCTGAGGTGAGGAAGGGGACTCACTGCCTCACGGTGAAGACACGGAAGGACCCTCCCTCTGTGGTACTTTTGCTGCAAAAACACATACACATTACACCACTCAAACATGAAGCACCTCTGCACTGTGCAGTGTGCACTGACTTAGGCACAGAATAATTAGGAAAATATGCCTATACAGTGACTCATTAATATGTTGTTAATAAGCTTTGGAAACAGCAGATTTACAGCAGACAACTTAGTAATTTGACAATTAAAAGGCCTTGAACAAATGCCATAGTCAATACCTGTGAGAGCCAGTGCACTTGTATCAGCTCACACATAATAGTCCTACTGAAAAGCACTAAGTGGGTGACAGCAGTTCCATTACTGAGCCACTGGACAGGTCATGATTACTTCCCCAGCAACAAGGGCCAGGCAGTTTGGCCTGGGATTGCCAAAGGCATGACAAGGTATGTTTTTGCTATCTGAGTGGTCTGAGTTCAGCTCTCTTAGTCCAGTATAGGGTTTCATAGAAGTCACCGTTTTGCAATATCAGCACTTTGCATTCACAGTTAAAGTGTCTGGTTAAAGTAAGCAAAGATGTTTGGCCCATCCACACAGTAACCCATAGCATTATTCTTAACACCACACAGGCAGTATTAACCACAAACTTCCTCTTGGAAAGAGAAGCTGCTGGGTCCAAACCCACAAATCATGATTAGGTTGTTAGGACCATAATGTGCATCTTTTTAAATTATATATTTCAGTCACTACACCAGCTTCTCGAGGCATAGACACAATCTTTCGCTGGGAATTAATTTTCTTGACAGTTCTGTTGCATATATGTTTATTGTATCACACGGTTTAGTATTTGAACACAACGCCTTAAGCAGTTGAATTCTGCATCTTTTCTCTTGAATTAGTGTAATAAACAGAAGCATAGCTTCATGTGTGGTTCCCTGTACAGGGAATAAGCAAGGCTGGAGCAGGCCTCCTGTCCACTGCAGTATTGTCTAATAAAAAGACCTTTAATGGACCGACACACAAAGCTGTGTGTGAGTGCCAGAGCACACAGGTGTTCTCTATTATCATGTCTGATTACACTGGCATCTGTGTGCAGGCCGAGCGGGGGCCAGCTATGTTCTTTATCAGCCCTGACATATTCAAACCACCACAACTGTATTTCACCAACCTTCTGTATGAAAACAAGGCTCATTGTAAGGCTGTATATTAATATGTGTAGCTCTTTTCAGTACACTGCAGACCATACATACCAGACGATAAGCAGATCTCTGGCTTTGTACAAACAAATGCAACTTGTGAAGATAATTCCTTATTTTCTATTACTAGATTGCACTATTTTTATACATGCTCGACAGTTAGATTTCAAACAGCCAAGTTACTGATTAGATGTTGACAGAACCATACCATGTAAGAAAGGCTGTGGTGCAAATGTCCTCAAAAGGGAAAGATAATGAAGCCTAAGCAGTACCTTTCAGACTGGATGCCATTCTTTAAAATGCCAGCAAAGCTCTTTCTCTTATCCAGTGGCAGGACGTCCACCAAACCTCCATCAGGCCTGATCACTCCTGCGTGGATGGCTGCCTTACAAATACTTGAGTGCTGTTAAAACAAAGATGAGATACATTTTGAGATACCTCTATCACACATGGAATAAATCAGTTTATAGAAGTATGTGTCTATTCCACACACTTGTTTACACAGACAGTTGTACCATGGTTTGAGCCAGAAGTCTGTCTTCAGCACAGACCATAATGTATTTATCGAGGGCTTGGATGCACTTGAGTCACTTTCACACAAACATACACCACACTGTCTGCTCCAACAAGATCTAAGCAGACAGAATATGCACATGCAGAATAAAGAGGCATGCCAGTTTTCTGTCAAAGTTTGTGTTTCATAGTGTTTCAGGACAAAGTAACTTTAAAATATGACTACACAAAAGAGTTTTTAAAGATAGATTAATTGTTGGTTTTATGCACTAAATAAGAAAAAAAAATACAATACATTTTGCAAAACAAATTGGGCAAACATTCTTCAGTGGTCTGACTGCGGGATAATAACACTTGCTCAGAGCCTAACTGTAAACTTAAGGAAATACATTCCTTGCTGTCCCCTCGCTTACTTTATTATGACTTCCATTCTCATGGACCAAAGTCATAACTCTGTGACTTTCAATACTGTCAGGAGAGAATCTGGAAACACACTTCAAAACGTTACTTACATCTGCATAAATGCTGTTTCCAATCACAGGTGACCAGTAAGAAGGCTGGTTCTTGCAGTCAGCTGGACAGGAAATTCTGAGGGGGAAATGTGTTGTGCTCAGTAAGTAATTATAACAGAGATCAATAGAGAAAATCAATTAAGAGCTCACCTTGGACAATGTGAGTTCGGCTTTTTGTAAGGACAGATTTCAGCCACTGTTGTATAACAGTCCACAGAAATTTCTGAAAGAGCCAACCCAACAAATTAATTAAAAACTCACACCATATACTCCATTTATTGTTATCTTGTGTCACCTTGTACTTTGGCCATCACAAATGCATTTCCAGGTTTATATTTACTGTAATATATCCAGAAAAAATATAAATAGATACATTTGATGAAAGTGTAAATCTAGTAAGATATAGCTTACCTGAAAGACTCTACACCATGTTTTGTGGATTTTACAAAGAAAGGAAATTTCTCCATTCTTGTGACGTCAATTATGCCTCCATTGTTGTCAATGACACCAAAATGAATAGCTGCTCTGCAGATGCTTGATTGCTAAGACATTGAAATGTCAGACATTATTTAAAGCCTTAAAGGATGCAGCTGGATAGTGTCCATCAGACTCACCACATCGTAAAATAGTGTTCCATAAACCTTTCCCTTTTTATTGAGGCAGTTAGCAGGACATTTGAATCTGCATAGAAAAATAAAGTTTAGTTAACTGCTATAACTAGATGTAAACATGTGGACTTACCGATTACAGGTAACTCCTCTGCACTTGTCTCGCAGTCTAGTCTCACATTTGATATTATGTGCTGTAGGACAAACAAACAGTTAATGAGAGGCATTGCATGGTGAGAGCTGTAGTTGATGTTGCTTTTGCTCACTTATACCCAAAAAGCTGTGGCCAGGAGTGGTAGATGCTGGTGTCCTGGGAGTGCTGTTCTTGGGAGAGGAGGGTCTGGACACTGGTTTCCTTGCTGGAGGTTTGGGTTTTACAGTTGGTTTAGGTGTCGTGCGAGGAGGCAAAGGAACCTGGGGCTTCTCCACTTCATTCATATCTTCTGTTTCAGAAATCTGTGAATCTTACATGGCAACGCAAAAACACTGATGTTAACTGTGTGGAAATGTTAACATATATGAGTCATAACAACCATGTGTGTCTGCTCACCTTTGTAGCACAGGTTGTTCCGACACCCCCCTCCGTAGCTAGGGGGACACTGAGAGCAGGGGCGCCCGTGCTTGTAGGGTGCCTCTCCGATCCAGTTACCTCTATGGGAGTGAAACAATGGACAGTTTGACTTGGTGGAAATGAATCATGAGTCAGGCTTCGCTAGCCTCAAGGACTTGTAATTACTTCAGTGCGCTTTTGCCCAGGGTCAGTGGTTGTAATGGCCATTAGGCCCACAAATGAACAAAAGTAGTCATTGTTGTCTCTTTGTAACTTTCACTTATGTAAATATTTTCTTGCTTCATGGTTTATAATTATATTTCTATTCTGACTTTGTGAGGAATTTTAATGGCCCCAGTATATTTAACACATGTCACCACTGATTTGTAGACCACATACATAAAGCTCACACTATTTCCAAAAAAAAAAAAAAAAAAAAAACAATGTATAGAATTGTCCTATTGATTTGTACAAAATGTAAAATCTTACTTTGGTGAATAGTTGCACACAAGATAAACAGCATTCTTCCAGATTTCTCCCCACACATTCATTTCTGGACACACGTGAACGGCACAGCCCACACGACTTGTAGTTGCCCAGACCAACTATAAAAAGCAATATAAAAGTAAATGTGATTTTAGTTTGCAGTATGCAGTAATTAGCACTCATCTTATATTTTTGACCAAATGCCAGTTTGGTTAGCCATACTTACTATTTAATCAGGAACAAAGACTACACCATCTTGTGGCCACACAACACATTTAGTATAAAACTTTTATTATTTCATAAAGAATTTAAAGATTTTCTTATTGAGGTATGTGATTTTTTTTTTAGAAGGCAACATGTAATCCAACTAAGTACAGAGCAGTGGCCAGGGATGTGGGATAGGTGAAATAAAGAATTTTCTGAACACTCAAGCCTTTTTTATACTTTATTTTTGAAATGTAATTTTCAGGGAATCGTGTACCTAGATTGTTTCAGTGTTAGGGGAAACCCTCACTGCCTGGGAATCAAACCCAGAACCTTCTTGCTATGAGTTGAGAGTGGTAACTGCTCAGTAGGATAATGCAAGATTACTCAAAAATTAATTAAAATACAACTCTCAGTAAACCAGTGATGGGGGAATATCATTATGAGCATTATGTCTCCTTTAAAATAAAGAGACAACACTAATTATTTTAACTCTTGTGTGTTTCTATCCAAACTTAGAATTGCAGGCTCCCTTCCCAAGAATGTGCATCATTTTCCTGGTAATGTTAGAGGCCTCTGGAAGCAGTGAGTCAGCAGAGTAGCAGATGGGTGCTGTCACTATGTAGCTAAAACTCATGCTCTCCTCAGATATCTGATTGCCAATGCCATTATGACAATGTTGCAAATCACAGTGTACTTAGATGCAGAAAAACAGGAAGACAATGCTTAGTTTTATAGAGAAACGTCTTGCAGCATCTTCAGAAAGAATCCAGGTCAGCAGCGTGAGTGGTGGTGCGTCTGGAAATGACTGCCAGATGGCCATGATCAGATTACAGGTTAAAGGCAAAAAGAGGAAACTGAATGTTTATGTAAATCCATCCAAGTTTTGCAAAGGAAAGCGATTGTTCTTTCTTTCTTCTTGTTACAAAAACCTTGCACTTTTTTTTTCTTTGATCCTATATTTTATTATATTTTACTTTCCCATTTACCTGACCTAGTGAAATTTCATACAGCAACAGAGTGGCAATCAAAGTATTTTCATGATGGTATTCAACTACCCATGTTCAGAAAACAAGTAAGAGGGCAAGTATTAGTCAGCAGCACACTGACAATCAAAATATAGTATTCAAGTCAAAAGGCAAGCTACCACCACTACTAGTACTACCAACATTTCTAGCAATTTTCAGATTATTTGTTCTTAATAAACATTAGAAAGTAAATCACATAATCATCTCTGTCATATTAGCCAGCAAGGATTAAGGTAAGGTACACTTTGTTTACATATGAATGTACCCGAGTGAAAATATAACCATGATGTTGTGGTGGTTGAGGTCAGCTTTGGCATGACTTACCTGAGTGTAATGGGTGCACATGGGCCCAGAGCAGCGGTCTGGACACCAAGGGTTGCACTCATGAGGGTAGGGATAGGTGTAGTCTTTCACTTCGTCATACCAGGCTTGGACATGGAAGGCAGGAGATCGGTATCTGTTGACATACACAGACAAACCCAAAGTTTAGGTCATTGATCATGGATGTTACAGAGTACGAACTGTTCTGACCTAACATAGAGAACACACTCCCATCAGGAAATCAAATATAGAAGGATCCTGACTAATGTAAACAAGGTTCTACTGTCTTAGAGATTGACTAGAGCCATTCTTATAAACATGTCTTTTTACGGTGCTGAACAGAGCTGAGCAACTGAGGAGGGCACGAGGGGAGTGGGAAAAATGTCTTTGTATCAAGGTTGTTGGCAGAGAAATAAAAGAGAGAGGCAGCTAGGGAGAAAACAAACAGGGACAGACTTAAAAGAGCACCTCACCCACAAACAAAAAAAACAAATTATGAGTTCACTAGCTTTTAATTTCACATGTAAATAATATTCTAAATATAATTCTGGTCTAAAATAAACATTATTTAAATATGCAATAAACTAAAATCATCACATACAGTAAACATATATAGTACATGCAGACATTTTACCTGCCCCAGTGAACACCCAGGTTTTGTCCTATGGATCTGAGCAGGTCATGAGGTCCATGGTCCCACTCACATTGTTCTGCCCAGTGTGTGGCTGAGCGCTCCAACTCCTCATCCCACACCTGCGATATTAAGTACAGTATTTCATCACTATAGGCTTTTATGAAACTATTATGCTTCAGTACAAGTTTATCTTAGTTCAAACATTCAAAACCTTAATCACAGTCTGCCCAGGTGCTTGTTTTACACTTCCTTCCCGGTGAGCTGAGGCTACACTGGCTCTCAGTATCGCATTGACTTTCAACACTGACATGTGAGTAGGGCAGCTGGTTCTGGCCCTACTCCACAACAAATCTCCAGCAATCACAGCTAAATTATCCACGTTTCCTGGGAAGGGCAACTTCTTTACTGCAGTAGTGAGGAGCTGGGAAAGCAGAGAAGACACCTGATTCCTTCTCTAGCCGTGCATCTCCCTCAGTAAATTTCCAGCCCTTTTGGTGGTCGGTAACATGCACTAGACATTACTGTACCACAAATACACACACAAGTTGTTCTGAGAAACCTGGAACCTGAGAAACCAGCACTGAGTAAACCCTCAAACCAAATGCAGAGGTGTATAGAAGAGTGAAAGATTGTAATCAAGAAGTAGTTTAAACAGTTCATGTAAATAGCATCTACTACATTTATAAGTATAAAGTATGCCCAAAGAATTATATAATAAAGTATGGAATATACAAACTGTTCAGATAGAAGAATATAAATTTCTTCCAGACCTCTTCTCTGGGAAATGCAAAAATGCACAGTACCAAAACTGAGGACAGGATAAGTGTCTTGGAAACATTTAACCCACCTCTAATATGCCACCGTATTTTTCCTTAAACTAGCACGTTCTCCTTGTACTTCAGGAGCTGCTGTCTCTTTGGCTCCTTCACTGGTCGCAGGTTGAACAGAGTCAGCATTATTATCCACCTTGTAAAAGAGCTGCACAGCGGGCTGCCAATAGTTTACTATAGTGACTGCATGTTTCCAAGCTAGAGAAAGGGCTGTTTAAAAGCATGCTTCTTGTGGGCCAAATAAAACTTGAATTCTAATCATCACCCTCAATTTGCAGCTTAATGTTGCTGACACGTAAAGTTTGTGCTTTAAAAGGTAAATGCAATAATTGCTCTTTATTGGATAGACAATAATAGCTGTTAACCGCTGTATATCTCACCATATATTCCATGTTGGATGGAGTGGGGTAGACACCGCTCCTCAGCTTATTATGGAGCTGGATGATCTCTTCACGGTCAGACCAGCGGATGGCTCGTCTCGTCCGGTTGACAGGTGTGTGGCTGGTGCTGTCTTGTGCCTCATCTTCATATCGGCTCAACAGTGCTCTCAGCTCTGGAGAGTCAGGCAGGAAGACCGAAGCACTCTCCATGAAAGACCACGTTAGCACGTAGAGCAGGACAATATAAGCCATAACTCTGGAGGTCAGTGTCACGTTGGACTGGAGAATGGGGAGGCCCTTGTAAATGCTGTCCAAATGTTGGACCTATGTAAAATAATTAAAGTTTTAATTAGTTGCAAATAATCTGTGTCTGCCTATATCAGCACATGTAATGGCAATATGAAATTAACATTTTGCAGTTGCTATCGGTTTCTCAGTTTTGTGTTGAAACCCTCTTAATTTTTCCATGACTTAGAACCAGCATGATCACACATGCTTAGTGTTCAGTTACTTACTTTTATAAATATTTTACGGTGTTCTGAGCTGTTTTTCCCTTTGGCATTTCCTTTTAGGGTCATCACAGCAAATCTGTCCTGTAGCCTCTCCTGACGCAAACTCATGCAATTATCCATTGCACGAGTCCAAATTCATATATTTAACATTTTTATTTTTTCAGTTATTAGGGTCTTTCTACACAGACTACATCTTCATATGTTCTGTTTAGAGGAGTAAGGGAAAGGCATAAGTTCAGATCAGGTTGACAAGACAGAGCACACTCAGTTGAACCCATAAGCAAAGCACTGCATTCCTGACAAATCCAAGAGCAATACCGGTCCATGCAAATAGCCCCTTGAAACATTTGAGGACAAGTATCAGAATAATAAGCCCTCAGTCTGGACATGTGAACAAATTAAAGCATAATTGTCTTGAGTTTTCTCTTCTCCTTGAATCCTTGTGCTTGTCTCTGTCTGGTTGGCTGAACAGACAGGTTTGAGGTCTGGCTGCAGTGCTGTGTCAACATGCTGTGCCAGCTCTGGGCACTTGGAGCAGAAGTGGGCAGCCGGCACACCACACCCTTCAAACTCTCCCTTTTAGCCTCTTTTTCACACTGAATCTCGACCAGCCTCTCTATGTGCGCCCTTCTCATTGCTCTCATGAATTTTATACCAGAGTGATAGACTCAGCACAAGACACAGCCTACATGTGGATGGGAACCCAGGCATTATGCTGTCTGATAGAAGACTCACCTTGTCCCGCATGGCAGGATGAATGAATGGATGCTAATACAATAAGTTATAAAGAAATGTTGGCTTTTCTATGCAACGCATGGATTATGAACATACAGACGCCTACCTTATAATATTTCTGACGCTCAACAATGTCCTAAATTCCAAATTGGTGCATTTTAGTCTCATCCTTACTGCATTATTAATTTAAGCTTGAATGGAAGTAAATAAGTTGAACTGTAAAAAATAGTGCCTCACCTCAAAGTGCTAATATCCAAAACCGCGTCTGTATCGCTGCCTTTCTTAGTGGGAGCAGAGATGATCAGCGGCTGCAGCTTGTTGGCGCTGTTCCTGAGGCAAAATGAGAACTGCGTGAAGTCTGAGCGCGAGCAGAGCCTTATATAGACGGGGAGACCTCAGGAGGACCAAAATCTGACTACGTCCCCTCCACGTTCCTCATGCTAGGCTGCTGGCTCGCCTCGGAGAGTCAGCCTTAAGTAGGTTATTTGGCAAAGCTTTGCAGTGACAAGCCGTTGACTGTCAGCGAGGACATAAGTAAGGACTAAGCTTTGGTCTCTCAGAAAAAGGAGCCGTGCGGTCGTCTACACCAAAACGTGCAATAAAAATATTTCCGCGCATGACTAGTGGCCTAATTTATTACTTTTTATTCCCTTCCTATTTTTAGTTGTAATTAGCTTACAATAGGTTTTTATTTACTCAAAACACAGACAAGAAGTGGATGGAATTGGATAAAGAATACTAACTATAACCTTTACAAGTAAGCTACGTTGGTGATTTTCAGATTCTACAATGTGATGTCATACTCCCAGATGAGGGGAACGAGCTACTTTTCCCTGCTGATTACATTGTAATTTGCCATGAAATATCCAGAGCGGAAATTTATAAATGTTGAAGCTGATCATTTCTGTTTGCAATTAGACTCAAAACATTGCTGTATTGCAAGGGAAATCTGCATTTTAACAATATTAAGTTTAGCTGCCACCATAAGTCTATGTTAGGTCATCTGAAACTCAGCAATAACCACTTCTCAAAACTTTACTAGATTTTTATTCTATAAACTGCTGTGTCTCGTCTTAACTGTTTCCATAGTAAAGAAATAAAAAGACTACAGCATTAGAAGAATTGGAGGTATTGGCCAAATATAGGCTATTTTGCAGTAAAGCAGTTCCCATTTAAGTCACATTAGATGATTAAATATATGTGCCAATTTCTGACTTTTAGAGGTTTGACAGGAACTTTAATTACACAACCTCAGTGGTTCACAGCCTTATTCCTTAGTTTCAGCTTGCAGATATTTACAGTAAAAAATTCCAATATTCTTTTTTGTATCAAGTTGTTAAGTTTATTGACTACTTGATTATTCACTGAGACTAATTGTTACATTTTTGTTCAGCTGAATCAAAGCGCTTTAATTACCACCACTGAAAGAGAGCCCTGTTTGCAATGGTACAGCTGAGGCGGCTGGAGACAAGGATTACCAATGTCAAACACTGCCTGTGTTTACATTTTGATGCATTACATAATCCGGAGCAGGTGGACCCAGTCTTTCCTTTTGTAAATTGAAGGGGTACCACATCATGCTCTCCATGTCCCGTGTGCTGTTATATATCCAAACCTAAAGGAGGGTTTATTAATACTGGGGCCCATGAGATGTTTTTAAGATGCCATTTAAAATAGTGAAGGTGAATAAATAATAAATGTTGCCAAAAGGCTTCATACACCCATTAGCGGTTATTGAAGTGCAGCCTTGCAGTTGAACTTGATCGATCTTAAAGGCATATTAGGCCTTTAAGGAACACTTGACCAAGTTTACATTATTAAGTGGTTACATAGTGTTAGACCCCAACAAATACTTTCCCTTAGCAGTTTTCACAATACATCCATCATAAGAGCTTGTATGGCAGCATTGTAGACTTGTTGTGACATTTTGGGGTTGTCACTGAATTAAACTCCCAACACCATGTTGCTATGGATAAATTATGAGAAGCTTCTGCTTATCCCCAAATATGGTGGATTTTATAGCCACATATTACACATTACTGAGCCCACAGGATTAAGATTTGACCATTGAGACACAAGAACATTCAGACTGATAAGGAGCATGTTTGAGACCAAGAGGCTGAGTTGCAGTTTTGTAGTTTGGGTTTAATGTGCATATTGTTGTGTAGGCCAGTTCCAGCCAAGGAACTGAATATGCCTATTTAAATTAACCAAAACAGCAGACACTTACTGCTCTGACTAAATTGCATTGGCAAATAGCTTTTTGCACAATCATTTATTTTGAACAATAAACAAAATAGAATGCTAGAGGCTGAAAATTAAAGAGTATGGACAGATTCTTTTTAAGGTGTCAACAAATCCCAGCAGACAGTTGTTAGAAGCATATACTGAAATGACATTATTGAAGCACTTCACCAGCAATTTACGCAACCAGCCATGAAAGGTAGAAATCAAGAGTACAACAGAAAGCTTAGGATGTCTCTTGTCAAATTCTTAATTGCAGTTATCCTTTGAGAAGCGGAGCATAAAATGCTAATGGACAATGTAACAAATTGTGCTGAAGTGACAAAGCTTGAGTGAATTTCTTTTCAAAGAAGGTAATGTCTAAACATGCACCTGCTGGCAATGGGGAGTGGGGTGGAGTAATGACAATACAGGCTATTGAATGTTAATGTAAAGTGAAAGACAGACCAGCTCCTTTGGTTTACCTGCAGAAGTCAATTAAGAATGGCCTCCAAAACAACTCCAATAATTTAGTGCCATTTAAAAATGATTTCAGTGATGTCAATTTATAGAAAAGTCACATACATCAGAGCCTGTAGCTTTGATTGAAGTTAAAGAAACTTTTTTTATACGCTTGATAAAAAAAAAAAAAAAAAAAAAAAAGAGGACTGAAGTGAGAGCATATAGTGACAAAGAAAATAAATATCAAGCAAAGAACTAGTTTTATTCGTTGTGCTTTAGCTGTTGTAATTTCCAATACCAATTTTAGCATTTTGTGATTGAATAGAGGATGGGAACATTAATGAAATAAACAAATGTTTTAGTAAACCAAAAAAAAAGATCACAATCCATGGATAGTAAAAATGAAATATATTAAACAAAAGCAAACACTATGTCCCCTTGTGCGCATGTCCCAGACTAACGTCTTGTGTTACTTTGAGGATAAACGCTGAGCCAAGATTAAATGCAGTCATGTAAGTTCAGGTACATTCCCCTTGAGTCTCAACCTGGACATGTTGGTGCCCTCACCACTGAGTTTAAGTGGAAAAGTGGCACAGCTGAAGACTAAACCGATAGGCCTCATCCACAAAGATGAACTTCTGTTCTAAAGAAAAACAATGGAAACATAAAAAGTAAACAAGAGCAGGTTTGCAGTGGAATCACTATCAGTTGCTTTCTCTCCAGTGCAAGAACTGAGTCTCAAAACCATTGCAGTCCTTCAGGACGCAAAAAAGTTTGTTTTTTTTAGCTAGAATTTATTTTCATTGATATACTTTAAATCTAAGTATTTGCAAAATATTTATTTGCCAGTCAAATGTACACTTTGTGCAGAAAAGCTTTAATTATGACTTAACTTCTAAAGCGCATTTTTAAGAGATGGGTCTTTCTAAATCTAAACCCTGAAAGCACTACACAAATCTCTCATACAAGAAGCTGCTCAGATTTTATTCCCCTATCTTATTCCCTGCTTTTATTGGCTCAAGTTGTACGTAGATCAGAAAAACGGGAGGAAATGGAGACTGGGAGATGGCAGAGAACATAATCTGGCCTTTTAACAAAGTGACTAATGATAATGCTGGTGCTGGGCCATTTCAAAGCAAACAGGCTTTTAAACGGCTGCAAATTCATCAAGACAGCAGTTTTCCTGTGTAAAGGCAGGCGTTGATATCTCATCCTTAGAAAAAGGTTTTTCAAACCAAAACCCAAGAGGTCTCCCCAGCCATTCATTTTCAGTCTGTGGTGGATAGATCTTCCCATATACAAATTCACCAATTCTGGTCCAAGCAGTGTGCTTGTGCAGAACAGAGTCTCAGGTCCAAAGATAAAACCTCACCTCCATCTAGTCACCTGTCCTTTCACACTGATGAATCCAAATGAAAAACAGCAGTGGTGTACAGAGGAGAGCAGTCACAAGGAGCTTTATGTGAACGGAGTTAGTTTCTCTTCTCCAACAGAGTTGGAAAAGCTGGTTCTTGGAAAAGCAGGAGGGGAAAAGAAAAAAAATGCAAGAAAACAAGTTGGGCAGTGTTCCTGTTCATTAGATTGGTGTGTGTTATGTAGATTTGCTGCATTTTGAGTGCGAGTGGCGTATTCTTGCGTCCGGTTCCTTGCGAGTGTGTTTAAGTGTCTACAGCAGGTCGACACGACGGTAGTACAGCAGGTAGGCGGTGCGCTCTGCAGTCTGCTTCACCACCTGATACTGGGTGATGACTTTCACGGCTTGGTCATCAATGCGCAACCAGCCATTCAGACCGATGTGGAAGACATCCGTGGTGTAGTGACCGCCTGTTGCACTGTTTCCATGGTGATAGACCACTAGAAAAACAGAATGCAAATTGTGTTAATCAAAACCCTTATAAAAAGGAAATAGTTATTACAATTAACAATACTCACCAGCAAAGAGCCTGTAAGTTCTTTGGCCTTTCAAAACTTTACTCCGAACTCCAGAAGACAACAGATCTTAAAAATAATAAAAAAAAAAACATGTCAAAAATCAAATTCGAACAAAGTTAGATTTCACGTTAGAACAATACCTTTGCTTATTTCAAGGTCGACAGGGTAATCAATAATCTTTGTTAGTTTCTGGCAACCTCCAGTTTTTTCAAAGACAAATCTTTTGAGGTGGAGCACGAGGACAGGTGGCAGCTCTTCCAATGTTACCTTACGACTGATCTCAATCTTTAAAAAAATAAAATAAATAAATATATATATATAAAATTAATATACCAATGCTCGAATATTGCATAGCTTTCTGCAGAAGAGATATGCAAACATAATATTGAAATGTTTGTGTTAATAACAAAAGTAATGTGAAAAAGTCAACATAACAGATTGATAAGAAGACTTCAGATAATGTACCTCCTGCTTAGTTTTTGAAGTGTATCCTTGGACAGACTCTCGAGCTACCAATGTTTCCAAAGCCTCCTGGACTGTACGTATCTTTTCTGACTGGATGTCCAGCTGCAGAGTGAAGAAAGGCTGAAGTGTGGCTGATTCCTTGGAGTTTTGTTGATAAACCACCGACCTATAGAACCAAATAACAAATAATACAAGAGCTGTAGAGAGGGGTTCAAAAGCAGTGTGTAGAAATGATGTAGGCTCTTACTCAAAATGGGCTCTACAGACCAATTCTTCAGATTTTTGGTCACATTCCATTTCACCATTTTGAAATATCAATTACAATAGACATCCAAAACAATGGTAAAACTTGTTGGAAGCATTAATGCCATACCAATAGTAAATGTTGCATGTGGCCCTTAGGCTATGTAGGCTATGTGTACTAATTTAACTCTCGGTCACTGTCAGACTTTCACTATTGGGCAGAGATTGTATTGCTTAAGCAATAAGCAAAAAAAAAAAAAACCCAAAAAAGTAAAAGATAATTTAAAACAAAAACAAAAACAGTTGAACACATGATTAACTACGGACAATCATGTGATTAACTGCAATAAAATAAAAAATATATAAAATAAACTGATTGCATATGTAAATAAGCAAACATAGAAGTTACAAAATCTATATCTTTCTTGAGAATAACCATAAAAATGTGTGTTGGCATACCTTATGTGCCCACCAAATATGTCAGTGATTGGTGTGCGGACAAAGTCAGCTTGTCGAGTGATTGAAGTCTTGTTTCTAGGACCAACTTGCTCCCACTCATCCTCACTCCCATCTTCCTCTTTTTCAGCATCCTCTTCCTCTGCCCCCATTTGAATGTCTGGTCCATTTGGCGCGGAAACTTCTGCTGAGCAAATAAAAAACATCCGTCAGCTAACAATTGTACCAGACAAGCAATTATTTTTTGTTTTTGCTATAGTGTTCAAAGTTTTTTGGTTCTAGAATTATACATACTGTAATTAGGGCTTACCATTTTCCTGAGGTGAGATAAGTTTTTTCAGTGCCAGCATCTCTTCATGTAGACCATTGAGAGTGAAGCCAAGATATTCTTCTGCATCCTCTTGCCGTCCCTGAATAATATAAAAATGTATGCTCTATCAAATACTTCTAAAATAATTTGTGCAACTCAAAGTACAAACTGAAAGAACAGTGGGTGCAGGCCAAATTATTACATTCACAGACACTTGCTCAGGAGGATATTATTTCATTACTGAAACTAGACTCGAAAAGTATTACAAAACTGCTTATTGCGCTTCCTTTTAGTCAAATTAGAAAAACAAAAAAGTACCTTCTCAGAAAGACTTGACTTAATAAGTGTAAGAAGTTTGTAAATGTATGTAGGCTCAAAGGGTGCGCCAGGCCGGATGTCTTTCACAACTTTGTCTCCAGCTATTGCAGAAATACAAATGTTATTAAATCATTACCTATTCGGAGAGATGGATTATGTAGTCTTAAGTTTTCTACCTTGTTGCTTGGTCTTTGATGGCACAGGCATGTTGTTGAACTCATTCACAAGTCTTACACTAAGAAAATATTAAAATATGTCAAGAGTAAACCAATAAAAATTATACTAAAATAATAAACTCACAAGTTATCCATCATAGGTGTGGAGGTACATGGTCTCTGCATTTCATTATGCAAAGGAATAGACTTCATCAGGTGGTACATGGGTGGGCAAGCAATTAGGGCCTGCAGTGTCTGTGCAATTTAGAGTCAAGAATAAATACATGGTAATAATGTGTACACATACCAATATGATGTACTGTATTACAAATGGAGTGTCAAAACGTTTTTTTTGTTTGTTTTTTTTAAAGGATACAGCATTAATATAGCACCAGTTTCCCTTGTTGATCAGTCCCCTTGGCTGCAAAGACACTGGTTTATGTATCAACTTCACATTCTCAATAATTTCTGGGGATTAAAAAAAATGTCAGATTCATACAGATTACAAGTGTACTAGTCATAAAAATGACTTTTACAAGGGTGTTTATGTTTTAAAGAATTTACAATAGAAATGTTTCTTCTTCCAGATATGCCACTCATGAGATGAGCATGAGCAACTATTTGAATAAAAGCACAGGTTTCTTTTCCACGCCTAGGAAGGGAGCATGTCATTGAACAAAACAGTTCCCATGGTAACGTGGACTTAAATATAGCAAATAAATATTGTACAAAACAGCTTTAAAAGAATACATTTTCTATGTACATTTCCAACAATACTGTAGTCAGCCTTTCAGTTGTTTTTCCAAGTCAGGCTAAACCATTTTGGATACAGCCACGCCACCTAGTGACTGCTTCCAATCACTACAAATCATATATTGTAAAACAGGAACATGGCACGTCTATACATTGCCTTGAAGACCTGCTACCCCAATCAATTTCTACGTATCAACTGGTAAAATAGGGATCACTGAAAGAAAACGAAAGGGAATCACTGTTCTATATGCTAGAACTACTAAAATCTAGCAACATACATTTACCGACAGCTTTCACTGTGGTGAAACGTTACTGGTAAGACAAACTAAAATGAAAGCCAAGCATTATGAAAGGAAGATGATTGCCCATATTTTTTATACCTGCAAGTTTGGGGGCCATGGGATCTTCAGAGACATGGACAGGAGTTTCCTTGACTTCCCCAACTTTCTCTTGCTGCTCCTGTGCAGCAGGAGAAGAGGGAGCAACCACCTCCACAACATTTTTAACCTCTACAAAGGCCTGAGGTCCACCAGGCAGAGGCTTAGAGTTGTGGAAGAGGCTGGCCCAAGATTTGGGGCGACTGGCAGTGGGTGCAGCTGGTGTTGCAGCTAAATGAACATGATCAGTCACTGAGGCCAGAGCAGAGTCTAGGGCAACAGGCCGAACCTCCTCCCCATTCTCACTGTCCACTTTCTGTGCCTCTGCTCTCACAGAAACATCAGGCCCTGGGAGCCCATTGGCAAAGTCACTGTTCACAACTCCCCGCTCCTCCAGTGCAGTAGTGAGAGAAGTGGTAAGAGGAGGTGGACTGCCGGATTTGGAGTGGGGGCTGTTTGGTCTGTCTGCAGGTTTGGGGCTCTGTGGGTCCAAAAAGTCCTGCTGCTGGTCTGCTGTCCTCTGTGCCTCTATTGTCCCTCTGCTCTGAGAGGATGACAAAGAGGAAGTAGTTGCAACATTAGTCTCTGGTAAAGAGCCTGCTCCGCTCACCAAGTCCAAAGAAGAGTCATCTGGGCTATCACAAGTCCTCTGACTGGAAGTTGGTGCAGGGGCCAAATTCACTGCAGCTGAAGATGCCATGGAAACAGCATCTGGAGCAGACAGTTCTTCTCCTGATAGTGCTCTGCTGTCCATGTCCTCAGCACCATGATGTAGGGGACCAAGTGCATGTCCATTCACCATTACCGTCACAGGTGTCCCATCTGGTGCACCACTACTAGATGTGTCTAAATAGCTGTAGTATCCAGGCGGCCGTTTTTTCTTTTTCTTTCTCTCTCGTTGTCCCAGGGCACCAGAACCACCATCCATGTCCTGACAAGCCTGATGATTATTTAAGCCCGAGATATCTGAATCTGGACCATCAAGTGAGTTGAAGTGTGCTCCATCAGGGACATCAGCGGTGTGGACCAGTCTGGGGAGGTTTCGGGCCAGACTGGGAACCCAGTATAAACTCTGGAGCCTGAGGGTTGAGGTTGCTGGATACCTTATATAATGAATCATTGATCCCAATAGGCTTGGAATCAATTACCTCATCAACACCAAACTCAATGTGCTGATAGTCTTCTGCTGTAAACAACATTAAAAAACAATTAGACACAGTAAATAAGTCTGTTTAAATTCAGCCCTAAACAGTCATGTTTTCTTTTTTTTTTTTAGATTGAGGTCCTGGCCTGGTCTGAAAGAAATTTTGTGAGCCAATACTTAGAGCATGAATAATTGTGTGTTAAACAAGATAAAGTTTATCATTTTGCAATAAAAGAAAGCTAAATTATAAAAGGAAATGATGACTTAAAGATTGGTCTTCATCTCAGGGCCCAAATATTTCATAAAATATATACATTTATGGTACAGAAAGATGCAATCTAATCATTAAACATTGATTGGAGTCAAGTTATTTTGCAGTGTGAGGTACATTTTGCAAATGTGAAGAGAAAAGATGTTAGTGCCTTTTCAGAAACTTTCAAATGCTTTTTTTTAGATGACAAGAGTCACCCAGTAAAATACACCCTGATGGGCTGCATCAGGGTATATTTTACTTAGTGTTACAGCTATCACCATTATTATTATTACCAATCAACATAATATAAATGCATTGTTATAGATATTGTTAAATAGTTACAGGTAACTAATTTGGTTAATTATCACCATTCTTAGTACATTAATACAAGTCTATATTATTCTCTCCACCATTAGAATTTACCAAAACACAGAATGCAAAAGAGCAGTAACTAACAACTGCATGCAAAGCTCTACAGACTTGAACAAAAAGCAAGAAAATGTAGCAAGATTTAGAATGCCACCAGTTTTGGAAATTTGAAATTTTAGTTTTAGAGCAAACAGGTTGTCAAGCCACAGCATGTTGAACTCCTCAACTCACCGCAAACCTGCAGTCCCATTGACTCCATAATATAAGGTACAGCAGGAGTGCAGTAACTTCCTAAATAATCAATACAGATCATGTTAAATATAAATGGCGCATGGATGCCCCCAGCAATAAGACTAGAGCCAGTTATTTAACATTGATGAATTTGGTGGCTTCAAATTGAGTTGAGTCAAGAATTCCCCAGGTTAACATCTATAGATGTTTTTTTTTTTTTTTCCATGTCACTTTTTTTTCATTTATGTACATGACATATTGTTAGGGATTTAATCTTAAGTACATACCTGAAGACTGATTAACACAGGAGACTTTGTCATTGAATGGAGGAAGCTGTAGAGAGAAGAAAAAATTCAAAGGCAAAATTGGTATGTCTTACGGTTATTAAAATGACACAAAATTATATTTCCCCCCAAAATACCTTACCTCTACATGGCAACGTGGAGAAACAAAAAATTGGTTTATTTCATCTGGGCTGAACTCCCCAAAGATGTACTGGGAAGAAAGAAAGAGGCACTTAATATACACCATTTAGACAGATTTGAAAACAGGTTTATTATAACAAGTTCAAACTTTGTGTCAAAATAAAAATTTAACATTTTGTTAAAACCATAATAAAATCCTTTCCAACACCTTATTGAGAAAGACCCAAAAGTATCAACAAGGTGATAAGACAAGGCCAGGATGAAAAAGTGAACTGGGCTCAATGGCCACACAGTTAATCCTCTCAGTGAAATCAACAGTGAAATGTGAAAGGTAAAAAAGGAAAGTGCAACTCAAGCATATGTAACTCTTTGCAAACAAGGCCTCACATGAAGGCCCACAGTGCTGAACCGGCACTAAAAGTGACAAACAGCCAGCTCTAATCCAATGACCACAGGATGGCTAATACAATCACAACAGAAAGAATGTCCCTTTGCCCCTTTCTGCAGGCGTGATACATATGCCATAAAAAGCTTCCTTTATGTTACCTAGGATTATGACAAAGAAAATTATATTCTAAAATGCCAACGTTTCAAGTACAGTTAAACAGGTGGGTCTGGATGGAAACATTACAATTATTAAGAAATACAGCACCACCTCACAATCATTGTTTAAAAAAATAAAAATAAAAAAACTTTATGACTGTTGCCATAACAGTATCAAATGAATGCAAATATGTGCAGGAATTCCACCATGACACAACTGTGGCTATGCTACTGAACTGGAATGCATATGACTGTATACTGGGCAGCTTGACAGAGTAAAAAAAACTACATCAACTCAAAAATTAAGGTCAGACTAGTTTGACTCTAAATGCCTGCCTGAGCCTGCATAGACATGTGATGTCATTGTTATAATACAACTAATACCTATAAAGTTGTTTATGGAATGCTGTTTTGAAGATATGCAAAATTTGAATATCACGTATACTAATATTATGAACACTGTAATTTCCAAATAACAGTATAAAATGATAGATGTGTATATGTATCATATATGTAATGTAATATGTAGTTTTACTATCCATTCACTTTTGATTGTTACTTAAACCTCAACTAAAACATATTTTAACATATTTCTTTTGGATTGTTATACTCAAAAATTCAATCAATTCATATCAGTTATTTTGGTCAATAATACCACTCCTAGGCATCACATCAGGACAAAATTACACTAAAGCCACATTAAAAATAAATACTAGCCTGGACACAGCTGGGATAAAAAAAAAATACATTAATAAAAATACTGTAATAAAAACGACTGCAGGCAACATTTTCAGTTGCAAATGATTTTTAAAAGCTACCTTGCATACCTTGGTTTGACTGCCTAACCAAATACACAAATGTCAAACTAGGAAAAGGACAGTTTATTTGTGTTAATTAAAGTTTTATTCATTTTATTTATTTATTTATTTATTTTTTATCATTATCATACTGTAATAAAGACCTGGTTTCAACAACGTGGTCTCTACTGAACTTTTGCATTACCATTAATTATAACACTATATTACAAGCAGCTATGCCAGTTGGGCGTGTATAGCTTGTTGCTCCAGCTTTGAGGGGTAAGCCAATAGAAAGTCAGTACCGCAGCCAGCAGTGTTAAGCAAAGGGTCACTGAGGTGGCTGATCATTCAAATAACTTTTTCAGGGTAGACTTTCTCTTTAGTCAATATGAAAATGGGCCTTCCCACATGACATCCAACTTCCTCTGAAATTGCTGCAAATTAGCCGCCGATGTCACAAGGCGCAGGCACGCTGCCGAAAAAATGCCATTTACACAATTTAGCGTTAGTAGTATATAATATGCAGTTAAAACACAAAGTTTTTACCATCTTGTCTGACGCTGAAGGTCCACAGGCTCAAGGCTCACATTTAATTAATGTTTAGCCAACTTGCTAGCAGGATGACTAAAGTATAACCACACCACCTGTGTGCAAGGACGCTTAATTATCAAATTAAATGTTATTTATTTATGAATACGTTATATCACATTTTAAAGTTGTAAAATCACGATTACTGAAATACTTCAAATTTAAAAGCATAAAATATCCTGGTATGATATCTGGTATTTGAGACATGCGCTGGGCCAGGCCTGAGCAGGTGGGCCATGCACACACGCAGTTTTCAGTGTCAGTTTACATCAGAAGAAAAACACAAGCCAGACCAACGGTTTCACAAGAAAGTGCACAGGTGTTTAGAGTAATTTGGCTAAACGTAGCTGTCATCTTGGTGTAGAAACCAGTTATAGTGCATCTTACCAATATGAATGGAGGGACGTGGGGCCTGTTAGCTCCACGCTGCTTCGTGCAGTGAGGCTTAGGGGGGCATTAGCCAGCACTTTTCTGTACTCATTTCAATGACACGACTAACCAGATGTTTCCAAACGTACATTGATTGGGGCTGAATTAACAATGTTATGCACTATCCTCAAATAGCACAACATTGCACAGCAGATATGGGGTCTAGAGTCTGTCCTTAACGTTACAAGACATCACACGGGTCTTGTTTTGCAGGCTAATATTAGCCAGTTAGCATAGCTACCTGGTTGCTGTAAGAAGCCATGCTCCCGGTGTGATTTTCTCTTCTCCGCTGACAAGACGAAAACTCTCCCGGGAGGAAGCTGTAGATTTGTATTAAACAAACGATCTAATTTAACGCCATTGTCCTTTCCCAATGAAGTCCTGGCAGTGGCAGATGGTGAGCCATGCAATGCATCAGCATTTCATGCTGCTTGCAATCCCATCAGCGCCATTTCTGTGTGGCATTCCCCTCGTCTGCTACGAGCGCTACAAGCGAGCAGCGCGATCAGCTCTAGCAGCGTGTGAGCTCCGAACTAGCTCCACTTCCGACAGAGTTGTGAAAAGAGTCTTCACAATAAAAGCACAGACCTGTCGATTGGCAAATGACGTTTTTATATAGATTTGCCTGTTAAGGTGATAAATTAATTTGTTGTGACAAACATCGCATTATGTTTATATTTAGGGTAATTACTATTATGTTTTATTATTTTATTCGTGTTTTTGGATTCATTTTATATTGCATATACAGTGCACTAAAATCTGAAAAATAATATGTCAAAGAACGTAGTTTTGATTTCAGGAGGCTGACCACCACTGGGGTGACCAACCAGGCTATGGGAGTAATTGCTTCTTGTGGGCGTGGCATAACGTACAGGTGTGTTATCACGAAGCAGGAAGCATACAAATCACCATGTTTATTTCCAGCCCTCACAATCGGAATCTTGTGTTATTCGTTTTTGCATTGTTTAACCTAGTCAGTCCAACGATTTACTCATTTTAGTCTCGCTTGATTGTCATCTGTAACGTGATCTAGCTCGTATAAGAAATACTGCAGCGAAGATGCCAGAAAAAGGAAGGCAGCAGCGTAGGGACGATGCATATTATGGTCAGAATTACCACAGAGATCAACACAACATCAGGGATCATTATGAAAGATCCAGAGGTCAAGAGGAACGGAGCAGCGGTTACGCTGGTGACAGGCGCCCCAAACTTGACAGGTATAAAGAGTCACCTGTTTACAGGAAGCACCATCCAGTACGCCCAGCAAAACTGTAAAGAGACTATGGCACTAATAGTATTATAAAAATAATAATGCATTTAAAAAAGAGAGATTCGTTTACACTGATATGCCTAACTGTTCACTGACCACAATCTGTTGTTTTAAGGTCCAGAGAAATGTCAGTGAATCAGTCTGAAGAGGATGATCACAAAGCTCGTCAAGGATCGGCTCCCTTCAACCTGCGATACATCCCAACATCTAGAGGCAAGTTATTAAGCGGCATAAACAGAACGGATAGCCTACTTCCAAGGCACACCTAAAAGGGCCTGCATGCTATGTTTTAACTTAATACATGAAATGAGATTATCAATTTCAAATTCATTAAACGCACATTTTGTTGTGTTGATTTTAACAGCCAGCCTAGATATAAGGCCTAAGTGTATGTATTAGTGTGAATATCAGTTGTTTACAATAGCATGTTCAAATTAAGATTAGGTCAATCAACAATCAGCCCATGGCAGCACATGTCTGAAACTGGCAAACAGCTGGCACTAACAATCATCTACATCATTAGAATCAATATGTACTACACATCTTTATGTCAGATTGCTTCACTTCATGTTGACCTAATGTGTCTCTCAAACTTGATCTTTCAGGGCTTTGCCAACTCATGGAGATCTTTGTTAATCTCCTCATAATTATCTGTGCTGGTGTACCATATAGCAACAATGGTGGTTACCGTGACCTTGCCAGTCTGGGAGGGGTCTATTACTATCACTTTGGTGGAGCTAACGCCTTTACTGGAGCTGACGCTGAACGGGTGAAGGAGCTGGACCAGTTGTTTCATCAGCTGAAGAGACCACCCTACATCTTCACCATGGCCTGCGCGGGCTGCATTATGGTTTATGCCTGTGTAATGCTTTGTTTGGGGGTTTTCAGAGTGCCATACCGCTGGCCTGCAGTGCTGCTTGGTGAGGCTCTAGTGAACTTTCTCATTGGCTTAGGTTACATCCCAGCCCTGGCCTTCTATTTTATTAAACTGCAAGAGACCTACAGTAATGCCATTTGCAAAGAGAGAGAACAGATGTACAAGAGTAAAGGCCATAAAGGTTTTGAATGTCAGTTTCATGGGGCAGATATTGCAGTAGGTCTCTTTGGGGTGCTAGGGGTTTTTGTCTTCATCTTTGGTACTGTTTTGGCTGTCAGAGCTTTTAGGACTGTGAGGAAACTAAAGAGCCAACGAAGAAATGAGGAGAACAATTACTGAATCTCTGATCAAACTAATTACAATTTTACATTAAATACCCATTTATAGTTGTAAGCCTTAAACATTTTCATTGTTTATACTTTTATAAAATGTTGTATAGATTTTGTATTGAGGTATAGCATTTAGATTTAATAAAAAGCTTTTATATTGTGGTTACTGTTACTGTACAGATGCATTGCATTTTTTATTACTTTATTACTTTTATTAGAAAATTGTAATTAAAATTAATTGATTTCCTTTATGACCACTTTTTTAGTATTGTATCTATTGTCTTATTAATTTTCTCATTCATACCACATATATCAAATAATAAAGACTACTAAAGAATCACAATAAAAAGTTTTATTATTATTTATTTTATTGCTACTTGGTTTTGTTTTAAAACACATTACTCTTAAACTTAATGATAGCAGCAATAAAATATAAACAACTTTTAAAATTGATTCAGTTGTGTCAAGTACACAGCAAAGTGCTCCTTATTAGTTTCATTCATAAATGAAGATGTTCTTTCTGAAAAAAGACACATGCATGCCTATTTGCCATCTAAATACCATACACCCATTTTATACATATTTTTTACTTGAACATGTCTTGTTTATTTCAAGAGTATGCTTTACTGTATAAAATGCATTAATGCTCCAAAATAAGTTCTAGGAGTGATTAGCTAGTAATCATACAGAAAGAGAAGTACAAAAATAAACAATTTATTGTCAATGAAAAGAAAAATCAACCATTTCTACAAAATGATGCAAAAGAGGACCAGTGGCTACTTTGGTCACATGAAGCATACTCGATGAGCTATTCACATCATTCACACATTACAATCAGTGCATCACTCCAGAACATGCACACACAAATGTATTTTCTATTTGCTGACTAACTTGGACATTGTGTTAGTCACTGATTAGCTGTTACAAAAACACAGTATTAGTGAAATACACATGCCCTATGGCACTCCAAACTCATGACAACTCTGCTCCACAATTAAAGGAACCAAATCATAAGTAGTGCATTGCACTTTCCCATTAGAAGTGAAGTAAAAATATGGTTGCATCTTTGCATATACACACAACACTGCAATCTCTGATTGTGCCTTTATAAAGAAGATCTATATCTACTGTCTAATGTATGAAAACTGTAAATAAGTCTTTTCTATCATCCACATGGCATAGCTGATTTATCTTGTTATTTATTCTGACTCTGAAGTAATTTTATTTTAGATATCTTCACAAAACATTTTAGTGTTGGAATTGATAAAAGCACAAATGAATACGAAGTACAAATGTGAACTAGTTTGTCACGTAAAATGCATTATTATTAAATAAAACCTCTACATCTGTTGGCTTGGTATTCATAGGCATAGGAGGTGATGAGCACTAAGGAAGTTAGTGGTTTATCCATCCTTTTATCTAATTCATTTAAATACACTTACATCTTAACACATAATTTAAGGCATTACTATTACCACTCTTAAGAGAAAGAACATTCTGTCCTGGACTTCATTTACATATGAAGTAGCAGAATAGAAGATTTACATGTGAAGTAACAGAATAGAAGATATAAACCTAAACAGTAAATCATGATGTAGGGCTGGGCAATTAATTGAAAGATCAAGAATTGTGAATAAGTAATGAATTGAGACACTACAGGCAATTCTCTTTCCAAATTTCATTATTTTTGGGGTTAGATGGCACAGATTAAAAGTCTGTATAATTTATGTTTAGGGTAAGTCTTTTTTTTTTTTTTTTCTAAAAAGACTAAAGTAAATTGAATTGAAAAATCCAGATCGATCAATATGTGAAAAAAAACCAAAAAAACAACTTGATCCTTTTTTTCGCATATAGCCCAGCTCTACCTTGATGCTATATGTATAATACAATAGCAATTAAACATTATACAATGGAGAGCTATCTCTCTGTAAGAGGTTGTTTTCTTTTTGGCACTAAGCAGGGGGGTTTGAGGGATAAACAAAGGTTTGAGTATGTCATACCTGATAATCTGAGCTATCTGGTAACTTTTAAAAGACACAAAATAATGTTCTACATTTGACAAATCAATATCAGTCTTATAAATGATAAGGAAATGTGCAATATTTGTAAAGGAAGAGGGGTTTCCAGTTTCCAAATAACTAAACCTGCACTTCTGTCAACAGTAACTTATAGATTCAGACAATCTTTATCCACCCACAATGGAAGAGTTAAGTTGTCCAGTTTGTCACTTTCTATTACATGTCCACTTTAATATGCTTCTATGTATAAACATAAATAGAGGATACAATGGAGTAATGGAGTAGATATATTTGCCTTATCAACTGCACTCATATAACATATAATTAACATTAATAAAACAGATGAGTTTTAAACCATAGGCACTTTTCAGTTTGAGTTTTGAGATACAGTGCAGCTCTCTGGGACCTGAGTCCATAGGGAAGAAATGTCTCTTACAGAAGCTTTGCATTTGCTTGAGCAACTAAGTAAAGGGAATCAGTGCAGACAATAGACATGTACAACATCTAATTTCAAGGCTTGTTCAAGTATGGCAAAACATTTTACATCACTATGTCACAAGTGAAAACACACTTATTTTTTCTTTCATCACAACCAATATATTGTATGGATTTAAATATTGGTACATCAGTTTGTACCACAAAGCAGCTTCATGTTTTAAGTGTAGTGTACAAAGCTTTAGCATTGCAGCTCAATATCTGCTTGAATAAAAAATAATCCAGAACAGTTCAGCCAGATACGGCACTTGTATGGCACACTAGAGGGCAGTGTCATACACTTCCTGCTGTATCATAGGGGAGGGGCCTGGAGCAGAGACCAGTGGTTGTGTAAATACTGAGGGCCACACAGAACTGCTCAGTGCAGAAGTCATAGATGCTGTTGAAAGACATGACACTACTGTGGTCTGCCCTCTGAGCTGCTCTCGGACCTCCTGCTCCAGACAAGGTGGAACTATGAGCTGGTCCTCTGGGTCCTGCTGTGCTGGGGCAGTAAAGTAGCCAGACTTCTTCTTAGGGGCCTCTACTGCTACCTCAATGATATTATGACTATCCTCAGGTGCAACAACCGAGCCATTAGACAGTTTCTTTCCAAACAGGCAGGAAGTGGAAGGGGACTTTTTGAGGTCTATAATTTCTCGCCCACAAACAGCTAATAGACAGCCATTAGTAGCTGATTGTACAACATTGTTCTGATTACACAATTTATCACTCTCTTTTCCAAAATGTGGGTTTTTGTTGCTGTCTGGAGCACAAGAGTGTAACTGAAAAGCACAGCAATGAATGTCTACTTCAACTTCCAATTTACTGCCATTTGAGATTACTCCTTGAACTTGGGCCTCATCATCACTGTCTAAGTTGTTGTCTGACTGGTTACTTGAGAAGGCAGCACTTGATGGCTGCCTCTGGAAGATGCCAGGGTGCTGATTTGTTAGTCCTGGCACCATAATCCCACACAAGACAGTGGCAGGGTGAATACTGCACCTTCTCTCAGACCGTGGTGCTGTAATCGATGTATGCTCATCAGATGCAGTGGACCCTGCCTCGCTGCCAACCTCTGAAGGTGACATCTCACTGTTCAACTCTGAAACTCCACCACTGCTAGAAGAAAGAGTGGCTGGCTCTGAGGTGCCGGGAGGGATAGCTAGAGATGGAGAGTTTGTATGAGGTCCTCCATGTGGGTCAGTGATAGTAAGAGGAGGTTCACATGTACAATTGTCCTCACTGATATGTAGCGACACCACCAAAGCACCTATGTTGTCTTTGCAGCCATAACTCTGAGCAAGGGTGCAAAGTTTCTTCGCAGAGGCATGTGGATCTCTCACAGCCTTCACAGTGAGAACAGCCTCCTGGTAAGAGACTCGTTCAAACAGAGCACGATTCCCCAGGATCAAGAACTCATCCTGGGAACAAAGTGGTACTGTATGCACATAGGGCTTAGGAAGTACCCATGGAGACAAATATGAACAGCCCAGCAGGCGAGAGCAGCAAGTCACGCCGCTTACTTTATTGTCCTTAACAAAAACAAAGAAGGTTTAATTATAGCACCATATTAGAAAATAAAAAAAATGTTAACTCTAAATGTGTATTACCTCTGTAATAATTGCTTTACTTAATTTTACTCTTTCCATTTCTTCATTGCAGTTCTCTAAGCTGTACACCTTTGATAATGTTACTGGTTGGCCATTGCGGCAGAGAACAGCCTGGCAGGTCCCAACATTGGCAACAGTAAGACTGAAATAGCCCCCGAGATCTGAAGGTTCATGGTGGATGTAAGATAGCAAGGCAGAGGCACCAAGCTTCTGACCAGCCACGCCAAGTTTTCTGTACCATAAAGACAGTTCATTTATTTCAATAAGTGGCAGTAATCATAGGTTAATTCAAGTTTATTTTACCTGTGAGATGTAAGAAATGTGTTGGACATATACACTGAATCAATGCTGGAGTGCTGCATTTCTTCACACAGCACATCTCCCATAGTGCACTGTAACAGTCGAGGCACTTCCTCATTACGATCTCCATCAAAGACACCATAGCAAGCTTCAGCACTATCTCCAAGCTGATCTACTGCCAGGACAGACACACACAGCCTGTACATAAACAACAAAGAAGTTGTTTAAAGATAATGCTTCCTGACCACACGACTGAAGTATAAGATTTAAGTGGTGCCATAAAAATTGCAGTTTTGCTGCCAAAATCCTGTGTCTGGCTGTGATTTTATTGTCTAAACAATTCTAATTCTAAACAATAATATAAATAATAAATAGTTGTGCTAAAATGATTAGAAGAGGACTCTATTTAGGATAGTAATCACTGGTAATCAATGTGCTAACTAGAATTAAGAGTTAAGAGTTAATTAAGAGTTTTTTTGTACAACAATGCATTGCCTATGGTAGATGCTTACTTGTTCCTTTGGCCACGAGTTTCTGAAAATCCATGATTCCATGGAGTAGAGGTGCTTGGAAATTCTCCTGTTGTGGTGCTCTTCAGGTCTATTTTCAGTGTTGCGATGTGGCTAAAAAGAATGACATTATTTGATATAAGAAATCAGGAGAGCATAAAAATTTTCATCTTATCATTATTATTTCATGTACAGATTTAACACGCACATATGAATGCCTTTGTAGTGTATTTTGTGGCTGACCTGAAGAGGTTGAGGGCTTTGGGCTCAAGCGTCAGGCTGTTGTTGCCAGTTAGGTCGAGCTCTTGCAGAGTGGGAGGGAGAGATTCTGGCAGCTGGATCTCAGTCAGCTGATTACAGCTCAGGTCAACAAGCTGAAAAA